CAACTTTATTGACATAGGTCTATTAACTTCTACTGGTCTTATTTTATTTCGTTCATATTTTAAATTTAGTTATAAGCTAGAGCTTTACAAGATGTTTAAGCAAGATAAGGGACTTTTTTTCTTGAAGAGTCGGAATTAAATAGACCAGTAATAGTAGTAGTAATAGTACTACAAGTTAGCATATAGGCTGACTAGTTTAATACGGTATTCAAATATTCAGCTGACTAATATGTGTACTCAATATTGGAATATCAAATGCAATGCAACTATTTTGTTGGCTACCACTTGTTACATGACATGTCTACCACTGCAATATTTATATATATATATATATTTATTATTGCATGAAAAATATTTATATATATATATATATTATATTTTTTACAAATATGTTAGACAAAGATGTAACTCTTGGGCCGTAATAACCCTAGGTACACCACTGCTCAGTAGTGCCGTCTTAAGGCATGGCCGACTGCGCACTTGCCCAGGGTCTCATGCTTCTAAGTGACCTTATGCTCGAGGGGGTCTCATTCCTCTAGGGACCATCATGCCTCTAGGCAGGGAACCTCACGCTTCCAGGGGCATTATGCTGCTAATATTATTAGTGAATATTAAAATATTTTTGGCAATTTAATTTGCTTTCAAAATGAAAGTGGCAAAACAATTTCCAGTTTATTTAAGCAATTTTTTCGATTCTCACATCAATTTAATTTTTTTGGTACCGGTACCAGCTTTAGAAAAAGTTTCTTTGATAAAATATCAATTTGAAAAAGAAAAAAATCAATAAAAAATTTTCTTGGTGGTGGTAGGAGGGGGTGTAAATCAAAGAGTCTTACAAAAGGCACCAAATGTTTATTATTTAGTAATTTAATTGAAGAAACTTATAGTAGTAGAAATTCCAAATAAACTTTTTAAACTGGTACTGCATTAGTTTGGAAATTCATGCTGTCTCATTTTCCATCAGATAATTGACATATTAATACATATATGACATCTTTTGTAAATATTTGCTTTCTTCTTTTTTAAACCATTAATTTTTTATTAAAAATGACCTGTTTTAAATAGCCATTCAAAATCTAAATCTTTTTCTACAAAAAGTATTTTTTCTCATTTTTGTATGGTACTGGTACCGGTAATTGTAAATTTTGGGAGGCCCTACTCAAGTTTTAAATTAAACCCAAAATGATAATTATTATACTAACAACATACTAATAGATTGTCGTTTTTAAAAATTAATGATCAATTGTTTTGAACGGAATATTTTTAAAATGTATTTTTATTAATATTCATTCATTGATGAATTAGTTTAAGTTTAAACAAATAAAACTTTTTAAAAAAAAACTATTTAACAATACTACTACGGTATTTAGATACAACTAAAAATAAAAAGGCATTGTGTAACCCATGCATGGTTAAGGGAGCCTAAATTTTAACCAGCATCTTTTCTGTTGCTAGCATGTTAAGTGTAGAATGATGCAAAACTAAATTTATTTATGCACCAAAATGCATGCCATCATTTTGAATTATCAAAAGTTTCTGGGGAGGGTCTTACTGAGACCTCACTCCAAACCTTACCCCCACTTTAATTTGGCGCTTTTGATCTTTTCTCCCTCCCTAATTAAAGTGACAGAACCGAGGTATTTTAAAGTAAAAGAAAAAGAGCTGGATGTAAGTAAATACAATGATTTTTTAGAACGGACAAAATTATGATTTTCCTTTAGTTTGGTATACGGTACATAGTTGAACTATAAAGATTTTAGGGACGAAAGTAAGCTGTGGCTAAAAGCATACCCTCAGGGGTCTCCACTACCAGAAATAATTTTTAGCTGGCCCTGGGCACCAAAATTCCTAATTTCGATGCTGATAGATGTCCTGCCCCCCTCCCCAAGCACCTGAAATACTACCCTCACCCCCCCGTAGAAAAATTACCTGAAAGAAACTGGTCAAATTGCCTAGGCCAATCTATGCCATAATGCTTTTCATAACATTACTTAAATAGTAGGCTATAGACCAGGGGTCTCAAACTCAAATTATCCGGGGCTGCAGGAGGTAGAGTCTGAGTGAGACTGGGCCGCATCAAGTATTCAACAAAAAATCGATTACAAATTCAATAAAGTACAACTGTTACAATTACAATGTGCTCAACCTTTATTAATAACAAATAAAAACATTAAGGGTTCTCAAGAACTAGGCTTCACTTTCTTCTTCCTGCTCCTTGTTACCAGAGACCTAGCAGTGCTTCTTCTTACACAGCTGAGCAACATTTGGTTTGAGTGAGAAAGCATTTGAGACCCTCCTTATAGCTTGAAGATGCTCATCAGTTGGTCCTGAACTTTAGACTTGTTAAATTTCATAGAGGAAAAGAGCTTTTCACACAGATAGGTACTCCCAAAAATGCACATGTACTTGGAAATCTCAGGGAAGGTGGAGGGCCATGCTCTCATAAATTGTCCATGTTTGTCTGTTTCTCAATTCCCCTCCCTGAACTTGAAGATCAATCAGCTCCATTTAAAGCGCAAGTGGGGCATCTTCCACATGGAAGGAGAATGGGTCAACAAAAATTTGAAAAATGGCTCTGTGTGTTCCGAAGTCTGAAAACGTGATCGAATTCTTCCTGTAGCTTATGATGCAATGGCATCAGTATACTTATGACTGAATGGTGTGCCCGTGTCCATGAGTACAATGCATGTTAGGAAATGGTTCTCTCAACACAAGTTTTGTGCAGAATGCCCTGACATTGTCATAGGCAACCCTGACAACCTGCCCCTGGCCTTTTACTTCTTGTTGAGTACATTCAGCTCCTGTGTAATGTCAACAAGAAAAGCCAAGTTCATGAACCATTTGGGATCACTTAGGACAGGAACAACCACCCCATCTTTCTCCATGAAGGCTTTGAATGCTAAAACGTGTTCAAACAGTAGGCAGACGTAGGCAATATTTATGAATCATTGATGCGAAGGAAGATGCTGTTGTAGGGAGATTGAATTTTGAGTTTTTTAATCGTAGGAAAGGCCTTTTTGACTAACCCTATTTTGAAAGTGACCAAGCTGACAGGCTTGAAATTTCCCTCACTCGTAAACATTAGTGGAAATTTTAATAGGGATTCTTTGATACTGTGTCAGATGCTACGATTTACATAATTATGGTTTGTGCATTACAAACTGACTTTTTAAACTTTTCTCAAAACCACATATTTTAGCCATGTTTGTCTCAGAAAATGCTATAAAATAAAAACTTTTAGTCCGATTTTAAAACGGTTTTTACCATTATAATCAAGGTCCAAACCTATACAAACATAAAAAAATCAGAATTAGACGAGTCGGTGAGATTCGACTGAGACCCTCACGGAGGGTAACATTATAGATATGAGAATGGGGAAATTTTGTGGGCCGCATTAGCACTAAAATTTGCTGTAAGAAGTAGCGGGCAGCAAAATATCGTCTTGTGGGCCGCGAGTTTGAGACGCCTGCTGTAGACAGACGTTCCTTGGGCGCACAAGTAAGACGATTTTGCCACCCCTGTCTATGTAAAGGTCATGGTATTTTATCGTTTAATTCACTATTTGGGGCCTAACTTAGGATGATTTTTTCACCCCCTGATATTGGTGCCAGAGGTGATTTGGACTCTCGCCCCTACTTTGCATGGCCCTGAGAATATAGATGGTTGGGGCCTGAGAGTATTGCTGTGCCCAGAGCTCCACTGCTGTAAAAAAGGCCCTGCCCATGGCTTGAGTGTATATGCCATGACAAATATTCTGAAAGTGGCAGAGGCATAAGCAGTCCAGTCGTTAGATACTATGTGAGTTCCAACCCATGTATCTGCAACTATTTCTGTTGTCAATGTAGCTAAAGTGCCATTATGGTAACACTAGCTAAAATCATTTACCAGAGATTCTCTCAATCCTCCAAAATACCCAATGGCCATTATGCCTATGCCCTCTGTGATATTTATGGTGGAAGTATTTAGACTTATCAATTTGTACAATAATTTGAACCAGCTGACAAACAACATGTGATTAAAATAAGTTAAAAATCACTGATCGTCTGTTTGGTCAGTTTTTGTTGTGTTTTATTGATCTTCAGTTATAAATGTTCTGCGGAAAATGCCCTTACCTATTTTAAAATATAGAAAAATTTATTTGGGATGCTAAATTTGACATTTAACCAATATACTAATACTCATAGCCTACTTATACTATAACTTTAAATTTATAACTTATCAGACACAACACTCAATATCCCTACTCATCTGACAAGAGTCAATATAATAGCTTATAATTTATATTCTAAAATAGCCTAATAACAGCCTACAGTATAGGAAATCATTCAGTTTCATTTCATGGGCCTGCTCAAGCTTAAAAATTCAAGCAATCTTTTTTTTTCAAGATCTCTGGATTTGTTTAACATGAATCCCAAACAACAGGTGTTTTTGTTGGTTTGACACTGTAAAATAGATGTGAATGTCTCACCTTTAGTCTGTTTCATTTTATTTTGTATTTTTATTTGCATTGGTGTCACATTCTCACTGCAATGCTATGAGCCAAGGACAACAAAAGTTTTTTAAATGTAAGATAGAGAAATGTAACTTAATCAGCCTTACTTTATTATTTTTACTAAAGTTAAAGTTTAGCCATTTAAATTGAAAGCTTCCAACTAAAAATAAAAATAGTTAATTATATAAAATCCTCAGTGTGTGACCATTTTGAGTATGTTTGATGAGTCTAGACTTGTAATGTTTTGCTTTGAATCCTAGTCCATCAACATATTTGTCCTGCATCTTGCACTGACTGTGCCATCCGTATCAGTAACAGAATTATTTGACTATTTTTAGTTGGAAAATATTGGCTAATTTTGCTAGTTTCTCATCTCAAATGATATGTTCAATTTATTTATTATTTTTTTCACTGTTTTAATTAATCAATTAATTTTAATCACAAATCATTATTTTCTTCTGCAGATATGAGAATGTCTGGTGTCACTGAATTGGAGTCTTTTCTACATTTGAAAGATCTTATCGTAATCAGTGGTTCTCTAAAAAACGTAATTGCAAGATGCCTTGGCCCTAAATGCCAGAGAACACTACTGACCTCCAGTACAGGACATACTGTTTTAACTAAAGATGGACTCAGTATCTTGGAATCATTACACTTTGCCCACCCTGTTTCCAGATGCATTCTTGATAGCTTGAGGACCTTCCGTAGTAATTATGGTGATGGTTGTAAAACATTTGTTATATACTTGCATCACTTATTGACTGCTATCGAAGAGGAATGCATGAAACAAGATTGTGATAGCACATCATTGAAAGTAAAAGTTGCAAAGTACCTGCATGAATTCCTAAGTAATGATCTGGGTAGTGTATATGCCACCCTGCAGGATTATATTCACAAGCAGCTCAATAGTGTGATGTCACAAGACCAGATCAGTTTAAATGCCTTGTTACAAAATGTGGTCAAAACATATTTGGGAGGCGCTTACTCTGAGGAGATAGAGTTACACCTTGCAGAAATTATTATATCATATTTAAATAGCACCAACTTCACATCAGCAGAGGTATCTTTAGCCTTGGAGTGGTTTGACAACTGTGTGAACATTTTAAATTTGGTGTCAGATTACAGCAATTCATGTGTCAAAGAGGGTATTTTTCTTTCCGGCTTCATCTTTATGACTTCAGTCCCTGTTACTTTTAACACTATTATCATGCAGTGCCCCATAGAAGGATACAGAGAGGATGACTGTGGGGATGTTTTAAAACTTTCCTCAAATTATTTAGATAGTGTTGTGACTTACAAAACAAAAGTTGTTCATCAGTTTCTGCTCGGCTTGACCAAGCACAAGGTGTCCTTAATTTTGACATCTCATAGAGTTCCTGATTATATCTTGCAGATGTGCAGTGAGCTTAAAATCAATCTTGTGTGTTGCCTTGAAAAGTCTGATCTCGACTTTGTATCATTCAACACAAAAAAGTTACCAGTGACAAGCATCCACGATGATTTGACATCATCAAACTTAATAGCTCCAGATTCCTATGAATATGCTGCCATAGGCGGAAAGGAGTTTTTGAAACTGCTGTTAGACAGAAGTGGCCTAATTTGGTATCCTAGTTGCCTGTTTTTATGCAGCCCTTTAGATAGTTTAGCTCAGCAACTGAAAGAAATTATACGAAAAAGTCTCAAACTTGTTTATCATTGTGTGAAAGAATCAGGATTAAATAAACAAGAACATCCTTCACCTGACGCAACCACAAGCCAAAATCATGTTAGAAAAGTGCTCCAACTTAATATTGTGGCGGGAGGGGGGTATTTCGAATACCTCTTGTCCTATCATTTAAGCTGCTACACATCACAAAGCCTTCGTTCACCCCCTCAGAGGAAATATTGCTGCAGTATCTTAGTGAAGATGCTGAATGCAGTGCCGCAGACTCTTCATCAAAACTGCTCAATAAACCAATCTGTTTTGGCATCAAATTATCTCACTGCCTACACATCTGTTAAAGAAAACCTGGCAAATCATTCCGTTGTGGGATTTCGTTCTGAAGGGAAAGTTTGTAATCTTTTGGCTAATGGTGTAATCGAGGTCCTCAGTATAAAAATTGCTGCTGTATATGAAGTTGTCGCATTGGTGGAAAAGCTGCTCCGATTAAACTCTATTGTTGGAGTTAAAAGATTATCTGCCGTAATTTTCACACCAGACAACATTGAGGATGAAGATGGATAAAGTTTTTTTTATGGTAAGCTTTAATTATGAGCAATACCAATGTACCATATTCTAATTCTGACTTACGGTAACATTTAATTATGTTGAGGGGGTTTTAGGAAATATCTCCAGAATACAGTTGATTCTTTTTTTTTTTAAATAATAAAAAGCAAGGAGTGACTGCTTTACTTAACACCTTTCAAAATTAACAATATTCCAAGTTTTTTACAGTATAATAAGAATTTACTTAATTGAAAGTTAATATGGTACTTTAATTGATTGATATTGATAGATACCAGGTATTAAATAAGTTGTAGATTTTTTGTGTGTGATAGAGTGGTTACTTACACTACACAGGTAAGCAGGGACCTCTTTATGTGAATGATTTTCTTGCTTTCAAGTTTAAAATAAGACAAAGAGACATCATAAATGATTATGATTCTGTCAATGCCTTTTTGTGCATGGGTAAAAAAACATAAAGAGTAAACCAAAGTAAATATGCAAATGAATTATTAATTTAAATTAAGATTGTACGTCACATGCAAGCTATACATTATGAATTTTGTCAATTCAATGTAGCTGTATTTGAAAATAAGAAGTAAAAGCAAAGGGATTCATAACTTATTAGACAATATCAAAATCATAAGCTAGGCTATGTATTGATTATATAACACTATTGCATGTATGTCTAAGTTCAAAAATTCGATTGTCAATATATTTCCTTAAGACTAAGAGATATAACCAAGCTTCAAGTTTTGTCAAAGTTGCGTTTTAAATTTTAATTTTGTATTTAATTATATGTTGAAATCCCTGTCCTACTGACCAGGCTTGACATACTTATGGCTTATGGGCAAGGCTAGAATTAGGACGTTAGGCTTGAATTTCAGATTTGTATTGAAATTAATAAAACTATTAAAACGTAGCTAGCTACACTACTATTACTACACCTAACTAAATAAAATGGTACTAATTTTTATTAATTTAATTTGTAAGTTTAAGTAATTAAAACTTAAGTTACTTAAACTTAAATTTGAGCTATTATTATTCATAGGTGTTCATTGTTATATTTTGGTTCAAATTTAAAATTAAAACTATTCATTATTTAGACTAGTCAAATTCGATCGTTTATTTTATCAAAATTAAATATAATTTAATAATTTTAAAAATGTACAGTGTAAAGCATTTTAAAACTAAATTATCTGTAACAAATCGATGTCTTGTAATACATTTTTTTGCTTGTTAATGCGAGGTTAGTGATATAATGTCGCAAATAATAATAAAAGTGGGGCAAGCTTAGCTCAGCATTATCTTTGCTGAAGTCTTAGTAACGTATTGGTTGCCTCGTGGTGATTCAAAAATAAACCTGTAAACATTAACATAAGCCAATCAAATTGATCCATTTTAAGAGGATGATCCGGGTATCTCGTGCTATCCACGTGATCACAACATCGACGTTTCCATAAATGGAGTTTGACCTCATGAATATTAAGTGGGTTTTTTCGGGATCACACGGCAACCAATGAAAAGGACTCATTTCTTCATACGTAAACAAAGAACACTGTGATGGTCGCTGGGTTTGATCAGCTGTTCTCCGTCCTGTCAACAAAATAATTGCAGCTAGCCAGCTCTAATTCAAATAACGTACTTACTGCTACAATTTATACAAAATCTACTTTAACGTGTAAAGGTCATAGTCAGCACAGGTAATTTTAACTATATTTGTCTGAGTGTGTTTAAATTAACTCCTAGATAGCTGGTGTCTTGCCCTGAAATAACTGGCTGGATTTTAGGTCACAATAATCAACAAAGTAGTCACCACTATTATTAGTATGTGCATTAGTGATCCCGCGATCTAAAACGCAACATTAATTTCGCGGTTAGAATAACTTTTGGCATTGTAATCTGTAATAATTTCCTGTAAAAGTTGAGTTGTTTGGCTTGCTTTATGTATAAATTTGGAGTGAGATGGGATTTTGAAAAGAAAAATGATGACCTTCATTTTGGTTTAGTAGAGTTTAAGTTCAATCGGGTTAGGCCAATCTCAAACATCAGTGACGCGTTGTCTATTTTTTTTTAAAGCTGTCCTGTGTTCGGTACGCTACGGACTTGGTTTGTTAACTTTATGGAATGAATGTGTCCTTAGAATTATAGGGAACCCAAAAACTTCCCTTATTGAACTTATTGACTAATTGCAATGTTAAGTTCATAATAAAGTAGAAAGGCGTTTCCCAAATCAACTAGAAGTGGAAAGGTCGTTACCTAGTACATGTATTTACGATTACGGATTGCGTTTATTTTTAGAAGTCAGTCAGCGATTGGGTTTTAAGCCATTAGCATTTGGTAGGACGTATTTACTTTTCTTAGAAGTGGATTGCACAAGCCACAGAAATAATTGGCAAAATCTTTTTACTTAGTCCAATATTTCTCTTACGCTTTGTCTTAAGCCTAGCCTATAGGCTTAATTAATAATTGATACATTTTTTCACTTACATATAATATTATATGAATATGACCTGTCACTGTCACCTGTGTCTAATTTCATAATCATTCATGGTTTATGAATTATTTTAATAATATATATTAATTATTAGGCATGCTGCAAAGGCATAGGCTAACACTAACCGGTCTTACATCTTTAATTGATTAGTTAATGCAAATTTTGGTCATTATCTTGTGCATTAGTTCATCTGACTGGCATCTGCATTGTATTCACCCTGCTCCTTGTGTAAGTAGGGCAAAATACACAATTTGTATTGTGACTAAATTCTTATTGTAGGCTATAGCTAATTTGTTTTGTATTATTATTCTCAGCAGTTATGTTAAAAAATGGATAAATTCTTTTTAAAATTGTATAGCTTTTAAAGTAAAACAATGTTAGTAGTTCTATAAGTTATGTGGACAATGTGATGAGTTGTAGAATGAGTAGCCTTCCTTTAACAACATACTTAAGTTTTTAAATTTAATCTAAGTGTTCCAAGTTGTTACTTTAACTTAAGTTCAAAAGAAAAGTAATTCAGTAAGTAATACAGAACTTTTAGACCATTGACTACTCTTTTATTTTGGCATTGTTATTGTTAGTAGTTTTAAGGATATGTCTGAAATCTACTATGCATAAAGCTTTTATTTTGTTGAACATGTTTTATTGTCTTTTATTCTCTAGTACAAGATCTGAAACATTTTAAAAATTAAGTCTACTAATGCTTTAGTTTAAAGTTAAGTGTCCTCAAATCTATATTTCAAATATAGATCATGCTGTGATCCTTGTTCTATTCTGCATGTATGTAGGTCTTAATCAGTTAAAATTGATTAATTAAAGTGTATGGACTTTCAGGGCCAAATTGGTGGTCTAATTTTGGTTCATGTGTCATATTGTAATTAGAGCAACCACAAGATGCCTCAGATAATTCAATGTGTACATAAGAAATATTGCATCATTTTTATGCAACCATCTCTTAAGGGGAAATCTATAAATGAGGTCACACACATTTTGAAATATTTTTTTACAACACCCCCCCCCCCCCTCCAATTGTCTCAAAAAGTTAGACCCCCACCCCCTCAAATTCCTCAGATAATTCAATGTGTACATAAGAAATATTGCATCATTTTTATGCAACCATCTCTTAAGGGGAAATCTATAAATGAGGTCACACACATTTTGAAATATTTTTTTACAACACCCCCCCCCTCCAATTGTCTCAAAAAGTTAGACCCCCACCCCCTCAAATATAACGTCACAAAACGTCACTCCGCTCCCATTAAAAAAAAATCCCTCTGTCCTTTACAAACCCTTAAGAAATACACCTCCCATAGATATCAAATTACTGCCCATGTGTCAGAAACATTTCCCTAGAACAGCAGTTCTTAACCAGGGGTAAAAGTACCTCCCCAGCCCTGAGGTGCGGAAGACCAGAAAATTCGTTTTGCTGCCATTGCTAGTTCTTTTTATGCATTTTGAATAGTATCAGTAAATGTTTTTCTTGTGAATTTTATTGCACATTGTTTGTATTGGTAATTTTTTTCCTTGTTTATTTAAAGTTAATTAAATAAATAAAACTACGATAACTAAATTATTTAATGATTTTCAAATTTTAATTTATTACAATATAATTTATAAAGTTGGCAGTGGGGATGTTTAAAATGGTGTGGGCCTGCAGTGCTGCAAAAAGGTTAAGAATCCCTGCACTGGAGCATAATTCACTAAGATCAAACACCCCCACCCCCCAACCATTTTTTTCGTTCCATCCCACTTTACGAGGTATTACGAATTCTATGACTCCCATCTCAACATTTTGACATAAATTCTCTCAGCTGTCAATGTCACTTCACTTCACCCATTTTATCCTCCTCCTTGGCGGCCTGTAACTTGATCAGATGTCATTTCTCTGACTTCCCATCCCTGTACTGATTCTCTCAGAGGTCGTAGTTTGAAAATAAAATGAAAATTGTTGTATAAAAGAATAATGTTAAAAATGTTTTTAATTTAGGGTTATTAAGTGCATTTTTTTACTATAAATCTCTGCTTTTCACCTGACATTATATTGCTTAATGCCCCCCTCCCACTCGTCACTCATCGTGGCATAAATGTGACACCCCCCTCCCCTTAGATGCGTGACATCATTTATGGATGGCCCCCTTTACTATAATTTAGGGTATATAAGTGTTGATTTGGAAACATAGAGAAACATTTTTATTTTACACAGATACAGAATACTCTGGTGATTTTAAAAAAAAAATACTTATGTTATTTCTTAACCAATTGAATGTGCTGTTTCCCTGCATTTTATTATGGGTGCATGTTCACTTTTATTTTTAAATTTAACCTTTAAATCATATGTTGGTTTCAGAATTTAATTGAAATTTAGTATTGAAAAAATGAAAAAATGTAATTAAGGGATGTAATCTTTAAAAAAAAATATTATTTAAGCACAACTGCTGGCCTGTCAACCATGAAAATATATCCTATATTTTATAACACAAATAATTGTGTGTTCCATTTAATTATTCCTTATCCTCCTTAACTGTTATGTATTAAATTTCTTCAACAGATTATAAATAATGTTTTATATAAACAAGTTCTTGTTCGGTGTTGATCCTGAGCAGCAGTATCAAAATCCGGCAGATGGCACTGGAGAACAACTGAAAACCCAGCAGATTGATGATTGGGTTGTTGTTGAAACATCGGGTAAGATTGGTAAATAATTAAAAAAACAAAAAAACTTTAATATTAAAATTCTGTTTTAGAAATATTATTAAATCTTTGAGACAACTTAATAATTTGAGCATCAATAATATTGTGATCTTTTTTTGTTCTAGAAGCATGCAGTTTTAAATGATTGGTATATTTGTGATGGGAAAAAATACAGTCAGTGAATGAATTGGCTCTGTGTTTAAGAAAATTTAATATTGTATGAATATCAAACAGCAGAGCAGTTTGTTTATTACAGAAGATAAGATAAGCCAATGATAATGGGCTTTACAACTTTAAAAAGTGCAATTTCATCTTTTTTTTTCTTCCCTTTTCAGATAAAGAGAACTGTGGGCCGTTTTCTCACTCCACCCCTCACACTCATCATCATCACCCTCATCGCCACCACCACCTTCATCATCCATTACAAAACCCTCACACCGCACATGTGGGAGGACATGATTCCTTATCGCAATCTCAGAGCTCATCCTGTGTCGCAGAAGAATATCTGGATGATGCAGACACGTTGGCTCAAAACTTAGACACTAGTGGTCATGCCACTGATGGTAATTGCTTAGCCCTGCATCCAAATTTCCCTCTTCAGGATTGTGGCAATACTAATTTTGATATTGACAGCAACTGTTCATCAGACACAGAGTCCTCTCATGGCTCTGTGTTCTCTGCCAGCTCAGGCAGGTCTCATGCCACTTACCGGCCACGTGGAAATGGCAGTGAGCCGTGGGTGGTGGCCCCTGCTCCGTGCTTCACTGGCTCCCAAGTGGGCGAGCTCAACGCCATTTCACACAGTCCAATGGAGAACCTCCTGATAGAGCATCCATCAATGTCTGTGTATCTCTCCATACCCCATTCATCCCGGCCCCCATCTCACCCCTTCCTTTCCACTCGTCTCACAGGTGAAAATAACGGAAGCAACTTACAGGAGGAAGGAGATGAATTGCCAACAGAGCACGCAGAGGTGAGGGAGGAAGAATTTGTTGCGCAAGACCAGACAGATGTAGTCCCTCTGCAGCCCAGAAGAATTGCTCAGATTATACCCCCAAGTCTCCTCTCACCCCAGCAAATTGTTAAAAACGTCCACACTGCCCGCCGTAGCCAGCGCATTAAAACTCAGGAAAATATAAGTAACAGTAAGTGTGATCGCCAGAATAAGGTGCGGGATTATCAAGGGTATACCAAGGGAAATAATAGGAAAAATAAGCGAATGAAGCCATCTGGCTGCAAAGCTTCCCGCTTCAATCAACGCATGTAATCACGGATGGACTTAGATCTCTTAGATAAATGGAAATTATTTTTAAAATAACCTTGTGATAACTTTTTATGCTCAAGCTCAGTTATTTCTTGGGTAGAATAATTTATTAATTCTATAAACTTAGAAAACAAATAAAAAGCTCACTATTTTATAAATAACACATTTTGTAATTTTTTTTCAGTAAAAACTTTGAATTAAATTATTGCTATGCCATACACCATGTTAATAAGTTTTATTAGTCATATCCCTTTGTTAATGATTTTTATTGATTAAGATGATTTGATAGCCATCACTGTTGATGTGAATGTGAAAACTAATAAATAACTTGTTCTGCAAGCTTATTACAATATGCAAATTTATCCACAAAATTTTTTAAAAGACAGTTCTGTAACACTGATATTACTAATAATATTAGTGATGGAAAAAATAAACTAGAACAATATTGTTCTTGAGTCTTTCCTTTCTAACCTCTACCTCATTCTTCTTTAAGAATAAATGAAGCTTCGGTGAAATGAAATTGTGATGTGAATCGGTTGTTAATAAAAATTTTTCCTGCCTTCATTTGCTCATGCCATTTTCTACCCTTGAAATAACTAGTCTTGACTATAGATAAAGTGAAATTGCAGCAGAGATTTTGATTTTTATCGCAGTAGCTGCTTGGTTACTGATGATAAAATTCAAAATAAAATTTAAATTTCATGATTGATTTTTTAACTCTGAATGACAGAAAAAGAAGACCTAACGCAGTAGAAGAAGATAAAAGAGCTTTTGCAATATATTAGAAATTTTAATTTAAAAGCCTTAAATTATTGTTGAAGCCTTTAGATATATTACACCCCTCCTCCCCACAACAGGTTGTGTGGGAAATTTGACTCAATAACCATGTAACCGTTTTTTGTTTTTTTCCACTGCATATACTGATATTAACTTATTTATTATATTTTATGTCAATAGCGTTAGCAGATCTGTTGTAAACAATTTTTCAGATGTATATAAAAACATTAAAGTTAAACCAGAAACCAAAAAAAAAAAAGAAAGAAAAAAAGGGAAAAGTTGAATATATATTAAAAAAATTTTGGTAACATCCTAGACTATTGGTTTGTTCATGTTTGCTACCTGTTCAAAAAATTTTTTGTTGACTTTATTTTTAAAAGAAATTTTTTAGCAGTAAAACATATAAGCTAATTGGAAACTCCTCAGAATTGTGTTGGAAGCTATTTTAAAAAAATCTTTACCTTTTTTCCAAGCTTTGAGTTTTGTTTTTGCTTTATTTTATTAAATAAGAAAGAAATGCTGCTCTTTTTATTGCTTTAACAAATTTGTTTTACAAAATAATATAGGCCCTTGCTGACAGCTAAATAAATAAACAGGAGAAGTACTGTGTGTAAATTTGTTTTTTTAAATTAAAAAATGCCCTCACCCAGAGACAACAACTGTGGGAACAGTGAATATAAAGATATTCATGCATTTCCAGACATGTCGTTTCAAACTATATATTCTGAATACTACTTTGGAAATTATAAACTAATTTAGAGCTTTGGGAATTTTAAAAATGCCACAAGGATTGTTCACCTCTAGTTGATGATTAAGTGAAAATTTTTACTCACACTCTTGCCAACAAAAGCGTAGATATAGTTCTGACTTGTCATTGCTGTATAAATATATACATTTGATCGATGTTATTTTGAAAATGTGTTGGTTTAAGAACAATGGGTCAGTTGAGTGCAAGTAAATTACATGAAACATGATAGAAATTGTGCGCAAGACTTAAATAACTTGATAATACGCATGCAGATATTTTGTAAAAAAATAAACAAACCATCTTTGTTAAATTGGTGCTGAAATCCATCTGACCATCAATCAATATTCACTTCATCATTCAGGAATGTCTACTGCTCGAGTCATCTTTGCTAATGTTTAAAGTTGCAACAGTTTTAAAGCTTGGATTACTACTTTGAAAAAGCTATTACATTAATTCTTTGATTAACTTTTTCACCGACATGTTGTTTTGTTGTTTATTTTACATTTGGTGGTTGAATTTTTTAACAACTCTTTTTTTAAGTCAATTTTTTTTTTTTTTTTTAAATAATTATAAGTCACTATATAATATTTTGTTTTTAAGAGTACTAGTGACATTAAAAAACTATTATCATGAACATTACCAGATTGCTAGTACATGTTTACCCTAAAAAAATTATCATGGTTTTTTTTTGTTTTTTATTTTTTTTTTGGTTGTTGATTTTTTTAACTACTTTTTTTTTAAGTTAATTTTTTTTTTTTTTTTTTAAATAATTATAAGTCACTATATAATATTCTGTTGTTAAGAGTTCTAGTGACATTAAAAAACTATTATTATGAACATTACCAGATTGCTAGTACATTTGTACCCTAAAAAAATTATCATGGTTGGCACTGAGTGCTTCTGTGTATATAACATGTAAAACTTGCTGTTTGTTGGGGTAAAAGTAATCTTTGACATTGTGCCCCGGCACACTGATCTGATCAAGAGCCATATGCATGCAATAAATGTATTTTGCCCTTTGTCTATTGAAACCAAGAATGTACTACAAATTTAACACCAGAACTGCTACTAAGTAACTTTAAAATGTTATTTTTTTAATCAATGTTATTTATATATATATATATTTTAAAAACTTGTCATTCATGTAAATTTCTACGGTTGTTATATGACCTGTCTTTTTAAATCTGTTTCTGCTTTTATTTCAATATGGCTAACAATTGTGTTATAGGTCCACCTAAGCCTTTTCTAACTGTTCCTGCCTCCCCTATGTCCGTTGAAGATATTTTATAGATGAAATAATTTTCAATAAGCCATTCAAAATATATTTTTTTCTAAACCATTATCTTGATTTAATATTTTTGGAGTGTTTATTTAAATTAGGAACTTTTATAGGCTGTCAAGGAACACATAATATCTATGGCTAGAATATTGCCACCAAATTTGTTGTTTTCCTAAATGTATAAATCTCTAATGATATTTAATTTTGATAATTTTATTCTCTCCAGATCTTTAAAAAGGCAAAATATAAGGTCTTTAGCCCAATAGATTTCAGTAGTTACAAAAGAAACACTATTTAAAAAAAAAAAAAAAAGTAGATTTGAGCAAAACTAAACTGCTTAATAATGTTACTTTAGGGGTGGAGGGGTGTTGAATAAAATCAAAATGGTAGTTCATGTCTAAATATTTATCTTCTTTACACTGTTTGCAGTAAGAGTGCTCTTTGAGTTGAGTGTAGTTGATATTTCAAATATCTGTTACGAGTGTAGAAATGAGAATTTTACATTTTGTGTTAGTTCTTATGCAACTCATAGCTTGTGGTAGATTTGTGTTGTAAAAAAAACTATTTAATAGTTGTAGTAGCTATGCCCTCATGTAAGAATTTTTCAATTTTTAGAATATTGATCTCATTGTTGTTTTAAAACCTATTGGAAAAAAACAACAAATAATTGTTCAAAATCCAAAAAGTGTGTAGGTTTAAAGATTAAGAAAGTGTCTTCAAGCTTTGAAATGAGAATATTGTGTGCGTCTACAAATTTGTGATACAACATTTAAGGGCAGTTCTTTCACAATTTCTTTACCATTTCTTTGTCATTGGACTAATGAAGAAAAAAAAAAAGTTGTGGGGTGGAATGACTGATCAGGAAGGAGAGAGAATAACAAGGAGAGTCGTCTAACCTGTTAACAATATTCCACGTTTTTCTATACACCTATGTGAATGTTTTAATTTTAGTACAAAAAAAATAATGTATAGTTTATTTAAATATACTGGCAACTGAAATCTTCTGTGTAAATACTTAAAGAGTGAATTTTTAATCAGTTTTCATGTTTAAAGTGGCATTGTTATATAGGAGTTGTACTTTTAAAAATAATCTGTGATTCTTTTTTTTTTAAATTTTCCACAAGGGCCATTTTTTGTTGTTACACTATGGCAAAACATGTAATATTTTAATTATTTTCGTGTAAATGAAGTAGTGCTGGAAGCAAAAAAGATCAGCTGCTCTTTTTTTGTTTGCAATAAGGGTTCTTACACCCCAGAAAATAAACTCCATTACAATCAAACTAAGTCAGATATATCATTAGTTATATTTAATTTAACGCATTTTTAAAACAGATTTTAATGAAACAACTATGAAATGCAATAAAACTTGTGACATCAACATAAGCATTGAGAATAATGTAAAGGGTCTGTAGCTCACTGTTAAAAATTAAATAAAAACAAAAACAGTATAAATTGCTCCGTTTTCTTGCATGGTTCACTTCCAAGGTTAAGAATATCATTTATAAATTTAAGTTTTCAACATCAAAAATAAGGAAAGAAATAATAAGTATACATTTGATTTGCACGGAAAAAATCACTCGCATTTCTATTTCAAAAACAATAGTTTTTTAATGTTCTTTTAACTAATTTATACCAACCAGAACTAATAAATGTCAATACTCGGAGGTCGAGATTCTATCTCTTAGGACCTCTGGCCGCGAAACATAGCCTAGTAGTCCCTTGGGACTCCGGCCATGCAACTCGGCCTTGAGTAACAGGGTTTTGGGCAGGTTTCTTCCACTCATGAGGGAGCAGTTTTGCGTCACAGTCCCCCTTGCCCATTGAGTCTTACGGTCGGTACGAAGGGTTGGAACAGTTTTTCTTCCTCTCCGGAGATGGCGTTGCGTTGCAACCCCCACTGCCCCGGGAGCTGTACGTTTCCTTGGTGCGGGACGGCTTTGCTTCCTCTCCGGGAGTAGTCACGAGCTTAACTTTCTCCCACCGTTCCTAAGAGTTGTGCGAGCAATTGGTTCCCAACGAATTGTTTCCCTCCGGGGAGGCGTTGTGTTGCCTCAAGCCCGCTACCCGGGAGCGGTTCGATCTGGACTGTGAAGGGTCAAAACGGTTTTTACTTCCTCTCCGGGGGAGGCGTTGCGTTACCTCAACCCACCATTCGGGGAGTGGTTCGGACTGGACGTGGCGGGGACAAAACGGTCGCCTAGGGGCGGCTTTCTCAGGGCCGCGTCTTTTTAATCACTGGCAAGGGTTTGGGCGGCCACCCATTGCCTCATACCCATCAACGGCAACACGTAATCATGTTAGCGCTTAAACTTCCGTTGCGTTGAAATTCATGCGTTTTGCCTGGGATCTTTTAGCTTCAGAAGGAGAAACTCCCCCCCTACTAGTCAGGCACGCCACGAAGAGGTAAGATCCCGTGTAACACCACAGAGAGCTTGTGGTGCTGGGCAAGGATTTTCCAAAGGTCCACCCTTAAACCCGCCTGACCAACCAGAACTGAAAGGAACAATCAGTCATAATGCACAATTTTTAAACTGAAAACAAAACATGATATCAAATTAAGCAATAATCAATTGTACTATTGTTCATTTCAATAATTATAAATTGAAGGGAACTTGTGTGTTTTAAGACTAACTGCAGGAGAGATATTGTTCATTTTACTTAATATGTGACTCTCTTTCTTTCATTATTAATTTATATTAATAAATGACTTTTGCTGACTTATTCGCTGTGACCTGTTCCAGTGACCACACTTTAATTCACCCTTTCACACATGCACCATTTTAAAATATGATTGTCTTCACCCTTAATTTGGCTCCATTTGAATATTTTTTGGTAGTTTTAAAGCATGCATTTTACAGCCATTAGTTTTTTAATATCCCTTTCCAATATCCTTAAGTATCTGGATTTTATTGTAATTAGCTGTAAGATATAATTTCTTCTTCTATATCTTAAGGGCCCACGATCAATTTATTGATCATTTTGGCTCCTATGTGGCTTTCTGTAAGTTAGTAAATTAGCCAAATTATGACTTTGTGTACATTTTGGGATCTAGCAGTTAAAAAGCATCTGTTTTCTAGAATAGCTCCAACTTTTTAATGCCTCAGAGATTCTATAAGGCTAATACATTGGATTCAGCATATAGAAATGTATAATTCTAATATACTTATATATATATATATCTATAATCTGTTGTGTATTTAAATTAAGCACATTTTTACTTTGTTTTAATCTAGAATGAAAGTGTTCGCACAATGCTGACATGTATAAATATGTCCATCAAATGGAAAAAGGTGAACTACTTTTCAGATGTTAATCTTGTATAGCCTTATTATAGTATATGACTGTACTGTAATTTAATTTCCATTAAAAGTTTGAACCAAAAAAAAAATTAAATAAATGTTTGTTTTTAAATGGCATATGATTTTTTTAAAAGAGTCTTTATTTAATATGTCTGTTGTTATTTCCTAACTGCTAAAGTATTCGTTATTAGTTATCAATTATGTTAAAGATAACCAATCTATTGAATTGATTTGAAAGTTTTCCAGTTCTAAACAGACAATTCGCTAATATTCATGGAAAGAGTAATTTGAAGGATATTCTGATGTTATAATACATGGGTAGGCAAATTATGGCTCGCATCGCGCCTCTGTTTTTAATCCCTGGCTCTCCTTTTTAAACAAAAATTAAATAAAATAACAAAAATGGAAGTAAAAAAAAAAACATGTAATTTAATTTTAGATGTCACTACTATGGAAGTAATAAATTCCCTATGATGCAGGTACAGCCCCACTTCCCCTTTTCACCATCTATGGTTCCAATGACTCTGTTTGCCCACCCTTGTTATGTAGTGAAATCTCTAGGAAAAATTTAGAGAAATTTTTTTTTATAGGAAAGATATTTTTTTTTTATCAGTGAACCAAAAAAGAAAAGAAGAAAAAATAAACATAGAAGTTACAAAAAAATAGATGTCATGATTCCTGTGATTTTTTTAAACAAATATTTTGAAAATTCTACCCTCTTGGGAAATTTAACAACAAAAGTGCTGGAGATGTCAAGATATAAATGAAGTCATCACTCTTTCAGCTTTGTCTTGTTTCATACCAAAAGTTGTATAAAAAAATTGTTTCAACTTGAATAAAAAAAAAATTTAAAACTGGACATTTTTATTTTCTGTTTAGAAACCTCTCCAGTGCTTAGCTAGGTTAAAGTAATATATAAGAGTGAATTTTAAAATCAGATGACATTCAACAAACTCAAGCTTGGTTGGTAACAAATCATTTATTTACACTGTGAAATTGGATTTTTAGAAAACATAGAAACTTTATCACAATTGGGAAAACTAACAAAAAATAGCTATACATATGTTACATAATTATAGAATTTTTTTCAAAAAGGGAAATGGCTTAGAAACCACTGGGATAGGTTACAGTTTATTAGCATTGAAAAAGAGACTAATAATTAAAATTTAACACACAATAACTGCACTCTTAGATAATGGGATATAAAAAGAAGTAAAAATTGTTTTTATAAAATGATTTCATTCTCTTTGTAAAAGAAAGAGATTGTATGCAGTTTTTGTATATATGTTTCAGATGCATTAAACCAGGGCAACACTAATAACACTAAAAAATAAGAACTTGAGTTGTTGTTGGTTTTTTTTTTTTGGGGGTGACAATTTAAAAATGTGTATAATGCTATAATTTAAAACAAAAAAGTTTAAAAGCAGTATGTAACATTTAAACAAAATTATATTAGCTTAGTGTAAAGTATAAATAGGTATTTTGCCAAGAAAAAATTAACTTGTTTCTTATCTCTTTCAAAACAGCTTCTTTCAACTGAAATGCTAACTTAAAAAAAAACACAAAAAAAAAACTGAGAATGAGACTCAAAATGAAAATGATAAAACATAAAACGTAGACTATATTCAAAAATATAATTTTAGGAAAGTATTTTATATCATCCTGGAAGGTAAATTCACTTCATTTTCTTTTCACCCGAAAAACAAATTTCAGAAACAGGTCATTTACGATTCTGATAACTAGTTCATGTTAGAGAATTAGGGCCAACTTTTGTTTCAATTTTTTAATATTAATAGTTTGTCAATTGTGGTGTATACCAGAAAATGTGACAAAAATCAATTCTTATATAATTAAATTTTAGTAATTTTATGCTCAAGATCTACATTTTTTTATACAAAATTATTTATGTAAAAAAAAAAAAACCAAACTTTTGTAAATGAAAAGAAATACATTTTTTGTTATGTACATTCTGTCATACAATGTTTTGGCAATTTTTCTGATATATCAATCTCTTTACATAATGTATAATTCCAAGAAGTAATTTCTTTTATTTTAGTCTCAGAGTACTTTCTTTCTAAGAGTAAGATTTTACATGATAGCATTCTGTTTAAAATTCATTATTTCAGATTCAAAAAAAAAAATTATAACAAAGAAATCATATTGAGAATGAGGGGTAAACAAGGCATACCTGTGCAAAAGTGGAGCAAGTGAACACAAGGCATGTCAGTGCAAAAGTGGAGCTAGTGGATATATTGCGTCAACAAGAACTTTAAAAGTCCAGTTATTAAGAGACTGGTCAGTCTGATCAAATGAGTCGCCATTGGACTGCACCTCTGACACATAAGTGCTGTAATAAAAAGACTGGGGCGAAAAAATAAGTCATAAATGATGTAGAAGGTTCCAACGAATTCTAAATACAAGGGTACTTACTTTCCTCATCAGTTTTGACATTTAATTTATATGGGGATATTCCTCGTTTTCAGTGATATTTGATCCACTTCATATTCTTACATTATATTTAGTTATCATTATTTTCTTCTATGACATGAAATTTTATCCATTGTTCTTTTTAAAACGGTGTGTGAAAAAAAATTGATTTAAAAAAATGTTAAAAAATTATTTTAAAGAATCAGTGAACTTATTAATTTTATATTATCTCTTGTGAAGAAACAGCCACAATAGTTAGTCTAGGGTTTAATAAATGTGCTTTTAATTCCATGTCTAGTTTACACATTGATAGAGTAAACTTAAAGTGCACATTTAAATGGTCAGTAACCGTCACTGACACATTCTCATTGATTGACATATGTGCTAAAAAGGTTTGCCAATCCTTTCGATCTGTTTCATTGCATGTACTATTCATGGAATATATGTTCCATTATGTAGCCAGAGTAGGGCACTATAGAAAGGGCTTATGTGGCAACATGCAAAAAACTTGCATTTACATCAAAACAATATTAACTAGAAGCTAGATGTCAAGTAGTTATTTTGGTAAACTTTGTGTTTATTTTTCTATTCATTTTCATAATGCAAGTATTAGTTCAGAAATAATGAATGAACAGAGATGAGAGATTTATGAACAAAATATACTACTTTGAACCTTGAGCTTTCTTTGTGTGGCATCATATTCATAATAAAATTGTCTTTTACATGATCAAGGTCAACTGAATGAAATAAACTTTATTAAGAAATGTCTTTTCGAGTTTAGCATGTTCCTCTAATATATTTTTGGTTTATTATGCAGAAGTTTGACAGCTAGACAAGGAACTAATATTATAGACCATGTTGTAGATGTTATAAAAACAAAAAAAACTTGGGCATGTTTGCATACTAATGCATGACAGGAATCATATTCAAGTATGGATATAAAGCTGTTAAACTGATTATGTATTTTTCTCTCTAGACAATAATCTGGGATCTGTCATTCATCTCTGTTGATAAAATTCTGATACACCAACACACTTTTATTCATGTGCCCATATTTTGTTCTCCATTTTTTTCCCCGTACATATTGTAGATCCCTTCAGGTATTCTGTACTATTATAGTTCACATATTCTGTACATATTATGTTAATTGAGAAGGGTTTTTGAACCAAATCAATTATACTTTCATATTGCAATGTATGTACATGCATAAATTATTATTTTTTGTACTTCAATCAAGCTTTCCCAGACTAACCCTCTTTCAATGATATAATCTCTTAAGATAACCAAGTGTGAGTCCAATATCATTGTTTACCCACAGTTAATACCTTTATTAAAGTCGAAGCTTAAATCTGTAAAACAATGATCTACAACTACAAACAGATTGAACATGAAACAGCACAGCCATTGAGCCGAGGGTTGGTATCATCCATTCAAGATTTTAATACAGACATGAAATTCATTCTCAACCATCAGCACATCATCTGTGCACAGTCACACAGGATGTGTATGACACATCTCCACTAGTCATTCACATTGTATCACCATTTTTTGAGGATGAGCTCACACATTTTAAGGCATGACAATTTTGAATGGTGTAATATCTTCACAGAAGCAAATCAGAACAGTCATCATTTTATAACACAGGTTTGGGCAAGATACTAGACTATGTGTTGATTCATGAAAAGGAAACCAGATTTTTTTGAAAATGCATCTACTTTATGGCAGTCAAAAAATTTAAAAATCACACAACGTCCTTTGGAAGTGTACCACTAAGCAATGGAGCAGAGGTCCTCAGAGACAACTCTCAAATCACCATCAAGTAAGTTTTTGATGACTGCCTTGGCGATGTAAGCTGTGGTGCCGTAGCGGACATTCGGAGGGGTGTTGTAAAACCGGTGCATGTCATCTTCCTTTTCTCTTCCTTCCATGGTGTTAAGATCTTGCTGGAATTCATCATAAGCTTCTTGGATGATCTGGTTGGGGAAAAAACAGTTTGCATTTTTTTAAAGTCTTAAATTGCTGGGTGGCTGTAAAGCAGTAATCACAAACACTCCTCATGGCAACTGTCAGAATAGACCTGTGGCCTAAGCTCTTCTATGGAAGTGTATCCCCCCCCCCCACCATACATGTAAAAAAAAAAGAATACACACACAGTGGTACACCAATTAACCAGAATATTTGTGACCAGGGATAGCCTATAAGAGAAATTCCAGGATTGGAATAAATATAATATATTAATATCTAACAAGTTTTTACAAAAATATTAACCTAATGTTATGATAGTTTTGTTTTAAAGATTTTGGTCAAAGTTTTGTTTATGGATTTTAAAATCCTGTCAGCCGAACAAGCAGAAAAATCCATGTCCATCTGTAGATGTTCTGACTGTAGATACTGTCAACTCCTACAGTCTTCTTGGATTGATTACATTCGTCAAGTTCTTTTCACATGTTGAGGCGTCGTACTATTCCTACTATCATTGAACGAACTCAACTCCTTTTGATAATAATTATAACTTTAATGTCTAAGTAAATATAATACACATAACACGTGAACATAGCACAGCTCGCTATCAGACACACATCCTATCACTCCAAAGTTCCACTCAAGACTGCCCGCACGACTAAAACATACGTCACAATACTGCATAGACAATACGTCACGAATCAGAATAAAAATACGACATAGAGACAATGGCGGAAAGAACGTTCAATAACTATAAGAGTCAAGCGCTGGAAAAGCG